GAGAAAAACAAAGCCACGAATGGAGTGTCTTTGGAGGCATCAGGGGCCCTTCGCAGCGAGACGGCAGTCTGCCATGTGAGCAAGGGACCGGCAGTAGAAAGGTTTGGAAAGAGACCCCCAATGGGATTCCTTTTGGGAAGAAGGAGTGATTTTTTCTGGGACTACAACTTCCAAAACCCTCCCTAGTTTCTGGTAATTAGTCCAAATAGCTAAAAAACACACACATTTTCTCCAAACTGTTTTGGTCCTTCCTTACTTCTGGAACAGAACAGCCCACTGACCCTCCAGGAAAGGCTTCTGGGATTTGTAGTTTACCCCCCCCCCCCAACTGAGCACTCTTAGAACCCCATAAAGACCAGCAGGAGATGAATGTGCATAAGCCTTACTCTCCTCGACAAAACTCCAAAGAAGTCCAGTTTGAAACCCATGTCCAAAGTTGTCCCCAACCCAAACCCAATGGTCAAGAGAAGGTCCATGTCCAGAAACGGAAGTCAAGTTGGCACAACGAGGAACAACATCAGCAGCAGGAATGACGCCAGGGAAGGACGGGATCTGACCTCCTCCTTGGTTTCTCATACCGGAACGGACGGCAAAGTCCGAACTATGGAAGCACCCTCAAATGAAAGACGCAGAGGCCCTTTCGCCCCCAAATTGGTCCCATCCGCCCGGTGACTGCACATGAAGATGGAAGAGCGCTTCGAAAGGGGGAAAGGGGCGGAGAAGGCTGTGAAGTAAACACGGCAGGTGAATGCCACGGCGCAGGTGGCCCACGGAGGCCCTAGGAGACCATGTGGTGGGTGATGGCCCTCAGGGCGTAGAGCAGCTCCGCCTGCAAGCGGGCCTCCAGGATGAGCAGGTTCACGTGGACCTGGAAGGAAAGGGTCAAGGCAGAAAAGGTCAAGGCGGGTTCATGGGGCACAGTTATTATTATCATTAAGCACTGAATGAGTATCTGTCAGGAGGGCTTGGGTTGTGTCTTTCTGTATAGCAATATGGGATTGGACTACACAGCCCTTGGGGTCTCTTCCAGTTCTATGGTTCTCTCATTGTTGTTAGGCAGGGGCTGGATGGGCATCTGTCGGGAGTGATTTGTGTGGCCCTTGGGGTCTCTTCCAATTCTATGGCTCTATTATTATTATTATTATTATTATTATTATTATTATTAAGCAGGAACTAGATGGGTATCTGTCGGGAGTGGTTTGATTGTGTTTTCAACCTGGCAGAATGGGATTGGACTGCATGGCCCTTGGAATCTCTTCCAGTTCTATGGTTCTCTCATTGTTAGGCAGGGGCTGGGTGGGCATCTGTCGGGAGTGGCTTGATTATGTGGCCCTTGGGGTCTCTTCCAATTCTAGGTTCTATTACTATTATTATTATTATTATTACTACTATTTTTATTATTATTATGGCAGAACAGGATTGGACTACATGGCTTTTGGGGTCTCTTCCAAGTCTATGGTTCTGTTGTTGTTGTTATTGTTGTTAGGCAGGGGCTGGATGGGCATCTGTTGGGAGTGGCTTGGCTGTGTGGCATTTGGGGTCTCTTCCAATTCTATGGTTCTATTGTTGTTGTTATTATTATTAAGCATGGATGGGCATCTGTTAGGAATGGTTTGATTGTGTCTTTCAACCTGGCAGAAGGGAGTTGGACTGCATGGCTCTTGGGGGTCTCTTCCAAGCCTATGGTTCTCTTGTTGTTGTTATTAGGCAGGGGCTGGATGGGCATCTGTCAGGAGTGGTTTGATTGTGTGGCCCTTGGGGTCTCTTCCAATTCTATGGTTCTATTATTATTATTAAACAGGGACTAGATGGGTATCTGTCGAGAGTGGTTTGATTGTGTCTTTCAGCCTAGCAGAATGGGATTGGACTGCAGGGCTCTTGGGGTCTCTTCCAAGTCTATGATTCTCTTGTTGTTATTAGGCAGGGGCTGGATGGGCATCTGTTGGGAGTGGATTGGCTGTGTGGCACTTGGGGTCTCTTCCAAGCCTATGGTTCTATTATTGTTGTTGTTATTATTAAGCAGGGATGGGCATCTGTCGGGAGTGGTTTGATTGTGTCTTTCTGCATGGCAGAAGGGAGTTGGGCTGCATAGCTCTGGGGGGTCTCTTCCAAACTTATGATTCAAATTCTTGCAATCCATTAAGATGAATAAACGACACATGACAAGAAAGGGAAAGGTGTCCTCTTCTTCCCCTTCCTCCTCCAGACTTTTGGAGCGGCCCTCCTGACCATCCGTTCCTTCCTCTCCTTTACATCTCAATTAGGCAAAAACTATAGAGTGAATGCATCACTCGTACGGCCTGTGTCTCAAGAATATGGGATTCTTGGAGTTTTAGCTGGCACTCATTGGCAGAGAAGGCTCAAGACTTTGCCAAACTACAACTCCTAGCATTCGCATAACATTGGGCTATGGCATGTTCTCCAGACCTTTCATCCTTTTAGTGGCCCTTTTAGTGGTCATTATTCCTCTTGAATTGCTTTGCCCAGAAGTGGACACAGGTTATTATTCCAGGCGATATGGAAATTCGACTTCTTTGGAAGCAGCTCAGAATCCCATTGGCCTTTTCCTTCCCTTTGGGCTTTCTCTGCCTCGTCTTCCCTCAAACGCTTGCCTTCTCTTACCTTTTCACTGTGCTTGAACTGCTTCCAGAAGCGCTCAAACATCTCCGGGTTCATCTTTTCCGGGAAGCAGGTGACCGTCTTGATGTAGAGCTTTAGGAGGCGCTCCAGGAGGTGGTTGACCTCGGCATAGTCGTAGTCGTCGTACCTGGG